GTTGCCTCTCCTCACCTAATCCCTTTGGCTGACTGCTCTTCTCTCTGGCTTCCTGGCTTTTAATCCCCTTTCTCCTGCTCTTCCTGCTTGCTACTTCGGGCATCCCTGAGTTGTCTCTCCTCACCTGTAACCCTAGGGCTGACTGCTAAAAATAGTAGCTGTAGTTTAGATTCATTGTGCTGACCTTCTCTGCCTGGTAGAAGTGGGCATAGCTGTGTCCATATTATGGGTTTGGGTACTGTTCTAGTTACCTAGTGCCACTCTGACAAGAATATACCACAAATGGGATAGCTTTAACAAACAGGAGTTTATTCTTAAAATTTGGAGGCTTTAAGACTGAGTTCAGAGTGCCAGGCTCTAAGGGCTGGGTGAATGGCCCTCAACCTTGGACTTCAGCTCTGCCTCTTGCTCCTGGCCCACTGAAGCAAGAGGCTTTTCTTCACTTAGACAGCTACTGGCTGTTGAGACTGACAAGCCCAAAGCTGACAAGTAAAAAGGCACAGTCCTTATGTTACCTAACCTCATGGCAGGCCATTAATTCAAGTCCATTGAAAGTCCCAAGGTCGGCAGAGCATGGCAGGCTGCTGAACAACCACATGGCTACATGCAGGGTTCAAGTGTGCTATAAGCTAGAGACCATTCCCAAAGCTGCTGCTTATATACGGGAAGTGGACCACATCCCTAAAGCAGCTACTCAGCTGCTTGTGGTAGATCCCACTGTGGAGTGGATTGCCAGTCTCATCATGGGGAATAACTACCACCAGCTGCCCAGCCAGTCAACCAGCCACTCAATCAGCCACTCAGCCAGGCCCAGCCAAGTTGACACATTTATATCAGGTAGATACACTCCCTGGAATAATCACACTTAACCACCAGATACATATCTAGGCTCCTGGAAAGTTGCATAGGCTAGTACCCTGGTCTCCTGCTTGTGGCCCTGAGAGCCCCTCAGCAGCAGTTCCCGCTAACAACCGCTTGCACCATCTGCCAGGCATTGATGTAGCCAGTCAGGCTGAGAGAAGTGGGAGCTCCTGCTCTCTGGCCCTAGTCATGTTCTCTGCTGCCTTACCCTGACCTCAGTTTTCTTTTCCTCCTCAGGTTGAATACAAAGACTTCCCCAAAAACAACAAGAATGAGTTTGTATCTCTAATCAATTGCTCCTCTCAGCCACCTCTGATCAGCCATGGCATCGGAAAGGATGTGGATTCCTGCCATGATATGGTACGTGACACACCCTCCCCCAGTGTGGTCCTGCCTCTACCCAGGTGGCTCTGGGGCTAAGGAGTCAGAGCTCGCCAGGTGGTTATCTGGAGGCTGCCTTTGCGTCAGCTTGTTACTGACTCAGAAAGCTGCAAGCGGTGTTTTCCATAGCTTGTTAGAATACTTCATTGTTTCATGTAGGGCATATTTCTGATGACTTTTATTCTTAGTTTATTGATGGATGTTTCATTCTGTTTATCAGAACACATCCACTTCAGATAACCTGCCCCTTGTCTTCCTTCTGCTGAGCTGGAGGCTCAGTGTGGATCCTGGGCCCTGTCAGCTGCTGTGTCCCATTCATCTCCTACCAGAACAGAGAAGAGCAGGTCTCAGTTCTGTGGGAACCCACTTACTATGTTTGATGAGCTTATTGTTGCAAGAAATACTAAAACTGAGAAAATAATTATCAAAATACTTAACCTGAGTAAACTATGAGAGATTCATGGAATATAATGAGCCCATCAAATTCATGTCTTGAAAATAAAGACAAGGAAAATACACGATAGATTCTTATCTTAAAGCAGGAGATAAAACTTGTGGTCTGCTGGCCACAAGGTAAAAAATCCTAGGAGGATATATAAATATTATAGAGATTGTGGTTCAGAGGTAACCGTGGACAGTTTTATTTTTCAAAATGTGTATTTCAGATTTACAAATCAAGTACTAAAGAACAGAGTGAGTGTGGGATGTGGGGGTTGAAGAACTTGCTGCCCAAAGTTGTGGTGGCTTCTTAGCCATAGCTAGCTACCCAGAGAGGAGTGAGTAGTTGGATCTGTGGGCTTGGGACCATGGTCACAGGGGACATCAAGCTCAATTGGCATAATACACAAAAACTTTGTTCTATATCCTACTCTGGTGAGTAGCGACTGGGATCTTAAAAGCTTGCAAGCAGCCATCTAGATGCAACAGTTGAGTCTTTCCTCATCCAGAGCAAAGAAGAATGAAGAAAATGCATGGAAACAGTTAGTCCAAGGGACTGGTACACCATGTAATCCTCAGTCCTGTATGACCATGAGACCAGAAGAACTAGATGGTGTCCAGCTACCACTGTCAACCACTCAGAGGCGGAATCTGTGTAGGAGATCCTGGATAGAGTGGTAGAACAATGTGGAACAAAACTCAAAATCATTGGGAAAAAGACCCAGTTTACTGGTCTGATAGAGCCTGTGGCCCCTAGTTACCTTTAAGGTCTAGAACTGAACTCATTCCTGTGTCTTCCAGCCAAACAATAGGCAGGCGTATGGGGTGAACATTTATATCAGGTAGATACACTCCCTGGAATAATCAATCATGAGAGAACAGAAGGGCAGTGTTTATACAGGGAGACAGCTCAGGGGGTGGGAGTACATGGGAGGGAATGCCACAGGGAAGAGGTAACTCTACGGGGAGGAAGTAGGAAGAGCTGTTACATTGTGGGGAATTGCGGTTACTGTCATACAGCAAAATGTGTATGAACTGCTGTATGGCAAAAGAATCTGTTCTTATAAACTTTCACCGAAATCACAATAAAAAGAAAAAATAAACTAAAATACAGCTTGATACCCAGCTTGTTGGATGGCAGAAATTTACTCCCTTCCCCCTGCTCTCAGCAGTTACTACTCTGTCTTCCCAAGAAGTGACTTTGATTTTACTCTTCTTTCCATCCCCAACTAGGCTGCACTGAACATATTAAAGTTGCTGTCTGAGTTGGACCAACAAAGTACAGAGATGCCGAGAACAGGAAACGGACCGTTGTCTGTGTGAGTGCACTGTTTTATGGGAAAAGGCTTTTCTTTTTCCTCGTTTGCCCTGAAATTCAAACTATCTGCTCGGCTTAGTGGTGACGCTTGTCAGAGTTGCTTTCTGCCCCTTTCTTTTCTGTGAAATATTTCCAAACTCTGGACAGGAAGTTGTGCTTTGGTTTTCTTGTTTTCAGTTTTGAATAGACAACACATGCATGTGATTGGGAAATGACAAGGATTGTGGGAGGTTCACCGCGACACTGGCCTGCATAGCCCCTGTTCGCCCTGCTCCCTGTAGGCCACGTTTAATTATTCTCTAATCTATTCTTCCTATTTATTCCTTTGTTTAAATATTAATGTAATTTTTTTGTAACTTATTTTCTTCCTTTTTTCCCCAGAGGTAACATTATATAAACATTGTTCTCCTTTTTTCACTTGCTAATAGACCCTGGGAAAGCATCGCTTTGATGCAGTCATAAACTGGGCCCTACACTATTGGACTTTTCAGCATTTGCTAATTTCTTGTTTAACATGGCTTGATTCTCTCAAATTACAAAACCTGGTATCATACTCATTTTTTTCCTCCTTAAAGGTGTGGGAGGTGCTGAACCTTTACTGGCCATGAACCATTATTAAGTCCCAACATATATACTGAACATACTGAAACTGCTTTGACAAATTGGAATTTCTGATACCTCCATTGGGCTGAGAGACATACGAATGATGAACTGGACACAACAGTGCTGAGGAAGATGGGACGCAGGAGGCGGCCGTGGCTGTGACAGTGTGCTTGTGGTTTGTGTGATGGGCCAGAGGAGAGGAAGTGTTCACTCCCCTCACAAGAGCAGCCAAGCACGGGGCCACCAGCCTTCTGTGGTCCCCTTCTCTGCTGCGGAGCTACGAGGCCACAGCCCAGTCCACCTCACTGCTTGGGTGTGTTTTTTGGCTGTGTGAAAGAGGAAAATCCAGAACAACGTCGATCCCACTTCCCCAACTGGCTCACTCAGACCCTTGGGGATAAACACTGGACAGCCACACCAGAGCGAGGCCTGAGACTGGCCAGAGCTGCAAGTACCAGAGGACGTCATCTGGGTCCTCCTGGGCATCTCCTGCCTTCCCAGTGTGCTGAGCCCCACCCCACCCCCCGCCGCCCCAGTGCCCACACCATAACCACTGCTTTCTCTTCCAGCAGCGATACGCATTCTTAGTTTCATTATTTTCTTTCAATTAAAATGACACTATATACAGTTTTTATTGGAAAGTTTCTCAATTGTATCTAGTTATATAGCACAGTTTAGAAACTTGTCTGAGACTGATTTTATCAGTAATCTAACTGGCAAAGATCATATCCATGTGTATGTGTGTGGTTATCGGTTTTTATTTTTTCGAACTAACCCAGGACCATTTCAGTGATGCAATGTGTGCCCTCTGGTTGAGCAGAAACCATCTTAGGCGTTTCAGAAACCCGTGATGAAGTCTCCCACAGTTGTATAAATTGGAGTTTGGGGAATTTTAAACTTTAAATGATCACTTGGTTCCTTTTCTATTTTTATTTTGGTTAATGGAATGACTTACACAAATGAACTTTGATCTTTGTGTTAAAAATGATGAAAACAATTGTGTGCATATCCATGGCTATCTGGCACTGTAGCCTTTGCAGTACACTGCAGGATGCGATCTCCATGTCGTCCACACAGAACTGCAGATGAATGTTCCCTGAGTGCTTTATACTGTTAATTACATCTCCATGTAGGGCTGAAAAGAATGGCCTATGTTTATCTAGAAACTGTGTTGCTTTTGATGTTGTGTGATTGTGCACAGAGACGTGTGCAGGGAGGTTCTGCAGCTGGTCCAGATAAAAGCACGGTAGCCTTGCGAGTTAAGTTCTGCTTTGATTCATTGTTTACGCTGGAAATTTTTTCTCCCCATGGAATGTAAGTAATATTTAGTGTTTGTCACCAATAAATGGTAATACTAAATTTTTTTTTTTTGTTAATTTATTCTTAAATGCCACTACTGCTAGATTGCTCCCCTCCCAACCCACCCCTTTTTTATTTTTAAGAAAATAAATTTGTAATCCTTGTGATTCCATCTGGGCAGAAATCTGAAATAACTTTATATCAAACCATTGATCAATAAACAGCTACTAATGAATATGTTTTGGTCATGTTGAGCAATGACTAAAGAAATGAGGAAGGATGTGAGCGGTGGTGTGGAGGTGTGGCATGCATGGCCAGCGTGGGCAGTGTTAGTGCTGGCGAGAGATGTTTGACAACCGGAAAAGGGGACATGTCCCTCCCCTGAATGCAACATTGTTTTCCTGGGGACTGAAATGAGGAGTAGTGAAACCTTCTGACCCTGTGAGGGCCTCTTCACTGTCCTCAGGTGTGCGAGCGTGACTTTGAGCATCCTTTGGAGGAGGAAGTGTGGTGCTGCAGTGCACCCCAGTAACGGTGGGCGGGTTAGTGGGCTTTTAACCTTGGAAGAACCAGAAGCTCAGGAAGGTGGTTTCTCTCTAAAACCTGTGTGTGGCTTGGACAGCCTGAGTAACAAGGTTTGAAGAAAGTTAGGAAAAATGGTAGTGGATGGAAGGGGTTTAACATAGGGATAAGAGCAGTAAAAGGGAAAACCATTTCATTAAAATAATAAAAACCATTTCATTGAAAAAAAAAAAAAAAACCTCTCACACTGGGCTCTTCAGCACCTTGTTGATGTGCACGTGCAGACATCAGGGGCAGCCATCATAAGCCACTGTCTTCTGGGTTTTTGACTATTTGTAAAACTTACTCTGGGTGTCCACCCACTGAAGAAGCTAGTGGCCTCTTTCACTCAAATTAATTGGTGTTGAGCATTAAAGTGTTAAGAGCATTGCAGTGTAACTAGTATGTCCCAGAGAGAGGGTCCAGTAACAGCTCATTTCAGTCCTGCCTGATGTGTGGAATCAGGACTTCATGTAGTGTCCCAGGAGCAGAAATCCTAGTTTAGGCTCAGCGGTTCTTGTGATTAACCAAGAGCGATCAGGATTGGGATCATTGTGGGGTGCAGACTCTGGATTTCCACCCAGAGCATTAAAGCCCAATGGGGACAACTGGAGGCATGCTGCCAAGAGCCCTTCACCAACACATGGCAGCCACTTGGCCTTCCAGAGGGAAGGCTGCTTGGAGAGTCGAAGAACGTGCAAGGACATTCCTTTGGACATCTCTCCAAAACAGCCAGAGGGGAGTCCCCTTTGAAATGCCTCCTGTCAAAGAAACCTGGAAGTCCTCTTAATAACCATCTCTGAGGTAGGGGGAACTTGCCCTTTTGGCACTGCTGTCAGTGAGGCCCAGTTATAATTAGTTACAATAACAGCTAACTGTTGTTAGGTGCTGTCGAGTCAGACCCAACTCATAGTGACCCCTCCTTGGGTTTCTAAGGCAGTATCATGACAGATGTAGACTGTCCACCCTTCCTTCCGAGAACAGCTAACTGGAAGTTAGGAATCACTTCTAAGACCATGCTGCTCTGCTCTTCTCAGCTTCCCCTCGCAGCATGCAGGGTGCCTGTGGGTATGCTGTGAGGTCTGGAGTAGGGGAGAGCTGGACAGCCTACAGCAGACACCCAAGAACACAGGGCAGAGGGGACAGGAAGCAAGTGGAGGGAGAGGGCTGCTGAGGCTGGGACATTGGCTGCAGTACTGAAAACATAGAAAGGGAGAAAGATAGAAAGAACCCTGAGGAGCCGTAGGGTATCTGTGTCACTTATGGTTTGTAGATATGTGTACAACTACACCGAAAGGAATGTGTGTACTTGTTATGTGCCGTCGAGTTGGACCCAATTCATAGCAGCCCCTCCTTGGGTTTCCGAGGCAGTATCACTACGAAAGTAGATTGCCCAACCTTCCGAGGAGTGGCTGGTGGGTTTGAACCGCCAGCCTTCTGGTTAGCAGTCAAGTGCCTTAGGCACTATGCTACCAGAGCTCCCTGTGTGTACTTACATGTATGCATATATGCACATGCACATGTATATGCACATCTGCTTCCTGGCTCTGTTGAGAAAGCCGCCAAGCAGTAATGAGTAGCAGTGAGCGTGGCTGATTCTCAGATAGTGGTTTCCACTGAAGGGAACCAGGGTTCCTTGGAGAGACGGCTGAATCCATGACTGGGGGCAGGCAAAGATCAATCTGGACTATCTTTGTGTCAGAAAGCAAATTAGTGCTCAAAAAATGGTGGGCCCTGCTAAAAGGACACAAGGACAACCAGGAAGGGTCTTCTGGTGGTCAAAGTTGGGGTAGTTGGAAATAGTAGCAATAGATCATAACCCTTTGAACAGAAGAGAAACCCACAGGTGTCTGCAGTGGAAGTGAAGGAGTGAGGAGACGGCAGAGAAGGAGAGGCTCTTCTTCCAGCAGTGGACTGTGGACAGCTGGATGCAGAAGGAATGACGGGAGTGGAAGGTTACCAGGGGCTGGCAAGCGACCCAGTGGTGGCTGATTCAGATGGGTGTTGTCCATGGAGGACGAGGGTGGAGCCGTGAAGAGGAAGAGGCCAGCAGTGTTCTATCAGAATATCTCCCCACAAAATGCTCATCAGTGGCAACGGGAAAAGAGGCACTGGAGTGGTGAAGAAACCCGGCAAATGTACCTTAAGGTGCCCAGAGAGGACAGACTGACGAGGTGCTTGTGGACGGGCAGAAGTGATTTGTGGGGCAGTCCATCCTTCAAGGCTGAGAGGGAGGCCAGCCTGCCCTGTGGCGTGGACCATTTTCTGAAAGCGAGTGGTGCCAGTGTTCTGTCGCATCTTAAGTTCCTCAGGAAGATTTTAATGAGTAAAGATTATTTCCCCATAGCTTGTTTTCAGGTTTTTAAGAGTTTGCTGTTTTGTTTCAGCTTCTCCTGGAATATTTTAATATTAATCCTAGACATGACACAGTTTTTGTGTAAATGCTTCTGCCCATAGCTGTTTTTTTCAAGCCTTTTTTGGCCAGAAGACTGTCACTTCTGAGCTGATAATGCTGTGTAGGATGAATGCCCAGTGAGCAGCCCTGTCTGGATGTTCTGCGTGGTCCGTCAGAGGTAGGAGGGGCTTTAGGCTTGTGCTATCGACGGGAAAAGGGAGTGGCCACTCAGCAGCTCTCTGCTGCTTGCTGTAGGAGGCTAGTGGGAGCTCAGTAACATCTGAGTAAATTAGAGAAGTACCAGGAAGTAAACCTGGGAATGAGGATGCACATCTGTTCTCTATTTACAGGTAACTCTGAAAACTTCCACTGTTCATCTCTTGTTTAAGAGCTTAAATGTCTCTCTCTGGGTTCTGGAAAACAGACAAGGAAAACTTATTTGAAATTTCCAAATCCATCAATAATGGATTTGCCAAGCACTTAAGCATTACTGAATTGGCACAGTTCCCCAGTTTTCCTAAACAGGTTTTTAAAGAAGCAACATATAAGTTGGGTGGCAGGGGGTTGGGATTTTGATAAATGAAAGCAGTGCAGCCATTTTCTTAGAATTTCTCTCTTACTCTGCATACTTGTTTTAGTGTGTGTTTAATGTATATGCAAAAATCTTTCCACACCCCTGCCAGCATTTTTTTTTTTAGCTTTGCTTTCAGCGCTGGGATGAGAGGACTGTCTCCTTGTTTGCATCTGTTTTGCATCTGGTTTGTTAGCTGCCTGTATGTCTTCTCTGGTGAAGTGAATGTTCATGCCCTCTGCCCATTTTTTAATTGGATTATTTGTCTTTTGTTGTTAAGTTCTTGGTGTTTTCTGTACGTTATAGAGATCAGCCCCTTGTCTAGTATGTCATTGCCAAAAATCTTTTCCCTGTCTGTGGGTTCTCTTTTTACTCTTTTGGTGAACCTTTTGATACTCCTAAGGGTCTGATTTTCAGGAGGTCTCAGTCATCTGTTTTGTCTTCTGGTGTTTGTGTATTTTTAATCATATCTGATCGTTTTTTATGCCCTGAATTAGGGCCCATAAGTTTATACCTATTTTTTCTTTTATGGTCTGTATAGTTTTGGGTTTTACATTCAGGTGTTTGATCCAACTTTAGTTTGTTTTTGTATGTGGTGTGAGATATGGGTCTTGTTTCACTTTTTTGCAAATGGATGTCCAGTTTTGCCAGCACCATTTATTAAACTGACTGCCTCTTCCACATTTAATGAGTTTTGGCCCTTCATCAAAGATCAGCCATCCATAGGTACAAGGATTTACTTCTGGGTTCTCAGTTCTATTCCATTGGTCCAAGTGAGGAGAGACAGAATGTGGAGATTATAGAACACAATATCATTAATATCGCACGCAAGTAAGATCTTACTGAAGATAATTCA